AGTAGTAGTAATATTCATGGTAGCAGAAGCAGCGGTACTTATATCAGCAGTACATGTTAGCGGACGCTTCGTTCCAATCTCTGACGTCACTTTTTCTCCTGTGTGCCTCTACTGTCTGCTTCTACCGTCTGCTTCTTCCGTCTCTCTCTTTTCCGTCTCAACGCTCGCCCGTTTGCACGCTCGCCCGTTTGCACGCTCGCCCGTTTGCACGCTCGCCCGTTTGCACGCTCGCCCGTTTGCACGCTCGCCTTCCCGTTTGCACGCACGCACGCACGCACGCACGCACGCACGCACGCACGCACGCACGCACGCACGCACGCACGGGCCAACTCTCTCTTCTCTCTTCAAGAAATTTCTCCCGTATGTCTTTTTCAGCATAACTACGCGTCTATATAGAAAAAATCCAGCTGGTTACAACTGAACCTTGGTCGCACGGGATTATCACGGGCTTTTGGCTGTTTCAACCAAAATCATGTGAATTGAAAAGGTCCTTCTAGCTTACTCAGCTCTATTTCAATTTGTAACCGATATAAATAATTTCGGCCATTTCCATTGTCTTCTGATGAACCAGATTCAATGGGTACAACTTCTGGCCTAGATCAAATTTCCACATTAGTAAACAAAAATGCTCTGACTTAATTTCACTATTCAAAATCTATTGCAAGTTTTAATCAATAAAAATTATTTCGTCCATTTTCATTGTCTGCTAATGACCCAGTTCCAATGGGTACAGTTCGTGCCTTAGATCAGATTTCACATCAGTAAACGAAATTGCTCTGATTTAATTTCGCTTTTCAAATCCACTCCAATTCCACTAATATATATATATATATATATATATATATATATATATATGTGTATGTGTGTGTGTGTGTGTGTGTGTGTGTGTGTGTGTGTTTCAAACTCTCTCTCCGTGACATTTAGGTGCATATTGATCTGACCAACTTACAGTGAATTCCGAACTGAACCCATTATTTAATTCAGTTCAGAATTCCCTGTAGGCTACCCAGATCGATATACACCTGATGAAGGCCGGAAGGCACAACGACCGAAACGTTCTGAAAATAATAACGAAGATGAGGATAATTGTCAGAATGTAAATAGAGTAAATAATGATAATTCTTCATTCCAGACATTCAGACAGAATAAAAAAGAAATTTTTTTGCAGAAGCATAACATCACCAAAGTCGTCAGACACAGTGTTCAAGAATAATAAATTATTTTTAAAAAGAGGTGCCTCCAAAAAGTGTTTGGAATTTTAAAAATTGTCTTAAGATAAAATGTAATTATGAAAGTATTTTGATTATGATTTATTTTGGTTTGTTTTATGGTCCCTATAACTGTAGTGTGTGTCTCACCCCAGATCAGGTCAGAATAGACCTTACATTCAATGTCCGTCAGAGTAGGGAGGTGCAGAGTTGATCTCCTGGCCATTGTGCGGAGACACAAGTGGTTGCCACAACCGCATCTGGAAGGCACACGTGGGAAAGAGCCGAGACAGATATATAAACACTCCTTTCAGAGGTAAAGAGGGAGTCTCTCAGATACCGTAAATGTGAATGTAATGTTCATGTTTCGGATGAGGTGCCAGGGGCCACTCACACGCAGGTCAACGAAATCCGGAGTCGAATAAAATGTAATGTTACGTATGGCAGATTATAAATTTCGTTAGAAACATCAAGATTACATATCATTACAAAACTGAAGGATCTATAATGTAATCGATCCTGACCAGACATTTCGATTTCAGTCACTTTCTCTCCGACGTGCCGTGGCTTCCCTCTCTTTGCTACAAATATTTTCATGGCAACTGCTCTGACGAGCGTTTTTCCATCGTCCCTTGACTATGTGAATTTAAGCGTGCTACTAGATTGGCATGTAGGTCCCACCCTTTTAAACGCAATCCCCACTTCTACTCGAACAATTTCTTTTTTTCTTGCTTCCCTGATAATTGCAATCTTCAAAAATTTAAATGCAACGTCAATCGCCATCTGTTCATCTTTTGACCTTTCCTCCTTATTGTTAGTCTTCTCTTTCACTTTCACTTTCACTTTCATTCCATGTACCCCCACTACGCATACAAGTGACATTACTATCATTTTTGGGATGAAATGATTAAAAAAAAATGACGCTCAGTCGCCAATAACCAGGTGATTACTTTTGAATTATGTCCTCAATGGGTACCCATACTTGTAACCTTGTATCAAGTCAACCTTAATAAATAAGTACATAAATGTACTTTGCCCTTTGATGCAGTTTTACAATTTATATCGCTAAACTAATTGGAGGCAGACCAATCATGACAGAGAGAGCCGTGAAGTACGAGAGAGTCACAGAAAGTTCCAGAGAGTTCTGGAAAAACGAAAACGAGTTGGTAAAATTAAGAAAACTGGACATAGCAAATAGTAGAGGCAGTTAGTGATTACCCCACTTGTCTTCCACTGAATATCTGCTAACAGCCGCTATATGGCATTGTCAAAGAGTAGTAAAAAAGAAAAAAGGGTGCAAAATCTTTTTGGTTTTCTGTTTTAGGCACAGGATGCCTTAGAGATCGGGCGTATCCCGTTTCACCCGGGTGCGACGTGGGCGGTGATATCGTAAACAGCAAAACTAATGTTGCATTAAACACAAAATATAAAGTACGCAATATAAATGCTGTAAGCTTATTTGATTACACAAACATACGTAATTCTACCAAACCAACGAGGAACTCTTCTCAAATGTAAGTTTCTTAAAATCTTTAACAGGACTTTGCACAAAAAAGACATCTCTCCCCCCCCACACACACATTTCCATTGTCACTTTTTATATACTTTCTCTTTATTTTGCTAAGGCAATAAAAAATGTTGTTAATTGCACAATATTGTTTGCAATTTTATTTTTATCTTTTTTTTGCGAAAACTCCAATGCATTCGTAATACTATCACTATCTCTTTCACTAAATATATCCAAGCAACATTGGCAATCCTGCTATAAACAGGATATAGCAAATAGTAGGTTAGCAAGAACTGGACATACAAAATAGTCGGGGCGGTCAGAAACTAGAAAGGTCTATTCTTGGAAACAAGAATTCACAAGTAACTAACGAAAGGCCGTCAGTTGGATAAGCTCAAGTAAATGATTTTGTTACAAAGAACTACAACAAATATCAGTAAAACTTTGAAATTGTGGGGCAGGGATTGATTGACTGATTTGTTTTTTACGGCTTACCAACACTTTGTGAGTTATTTCAAGCCGAAACACGTTTTGGATTGTAAGAATAATTTTTCTTTTTCTGCGAGTGAATATTGTATTAACAATTTTTTAAAAAGTTACCATAGATTTTTCCATATGGGACAAGGGAGGACTGAAGTTTCTCAGTTGATGGGACGCACCTACAACAGGAAAACATTGTGAGAAAAGATGCCGAGGAAATGATGAAAACAAAAGAAATTGGCAGGTGCTGGTGCACACGTACATATCATTCCTTCTGTATTCGTTTAATGTTTTGTTATAGCAATGTCCAATCAATACAAGACTCAAGAGCCACTCAAACTATACGATTATTTATGTGGCGTGTGATATGAATGTTAGAGCAGGAAGTAACGATTATGTAGATATAGAGGAAAGATGAAACTTGACGAAGAGGTTGATTATAGTGATCGGGAAAGCATCCGCGCGGGAGTCTTTTTACCAAATGAAAAAGACTCTTCGGTACTCTCTCCGTTTAAACGTCATATTTTGTATCCGTTTCACTGAATTTCGGGGGAAAGTCAACACGACATCATAATGCAGACTCTGTGTGTGTGTGTGTGTGTCTGTACGTTTATATATTGGATCAGATTTCCTACATTTTTCAACCGATTTCAACAAAACTTCACAGGACTGCGTAAAATTAGCTTGCGGTGGTTCTGACAGCGCCAAAAATGGAAAAAAACACAATTGTTTTTGCACGAAATCAATTTGAAAACACGATAAAACACGATTCTGTCGCCAGAATGAAAGGGGGACAACTCATATCGAGTTATACTTATTATAAAACCCAGGTTGTTTGTGTGTGTGTGTGTGTGTGTGTGTGTGTGTGTATTCGTTTATACATGGGATTGGATTTCCTACATTTCACTTTTCACAAAACTTCACTTTTTTTTTGGCAGGTAGTGTTTCTTATTGTCTTGCACACTTTTTTCTTTCTTTTTACATTCAGAATGCTTTAAAAATTCCATTTACAAGACAATTGTTTATAATAAAATTCTATTCAATCGATAGACTCATAACGATTGAAAACAATGTTTTTGTTTGAGTTTGGGTTTGACCAATTCGTAAAAAAAAAAAAAAACAAAACAAAAACTAATTAAGACATGCGTGTCCCTCAACCTTTGTCAATTTTATTTTGTCTTTTTTATGGTCGATACAGTCTATCTATTATGGTTACGGCAACGCCGGGCTCTCCTCTATCTACTGCTTATTCATACAAATTGGATGTGTCGCTGTGTAATTAACTCTAATGGCGAAACAGTATCAAAAGGCCGATATGTGGGTATGGTTCTGTGAGTAGTGCTACCAGTGCTGGATTTAGTAAGACTGTAAAAGTCCTTCCCACAACATTCTGAATTTTTTAAGCACTCTGTGAATTATGGGTCTACTAAACTAGTTTCTTTAACTTAGTTCTAAATCTGACACTGAGTTCAGCGGCTGATATATCTATAAAAACAAGTGTTTCTAAACAAATATTGGTTGGCTGGTTGTCTTTGTTTTGTGGTATATCAACCTCTATGGGTTTATTTACTGCTGAAATGGAAATATTTTGCAAGTAAATTTTTTATTTAGTTTTTGAAGATAATAATGGTTCAGTGATACGTCTTACTAATTAACCCATAGCCTGGGGGAAGAAGTTGTGGATTCATACCTTTTCCAAGGGTATCTATGCGTACGCGAATATAACGAACCCAGCTAAAATTGTTACTCGGTTCTTCTATTAGCAATTCTGACACATTATACACTACATCATTCTTAAATCTAAGCTTACAGCACCTGGTATTCCCAAGCGGTCACCTATCTAGACTACTGACCAGGCCCGATGTTGCTTAACTTCGGTGATCGTACAAGAACTGGTGTTTCAACGAAGTGTGGCCATAAGCCTCTAAACAAGTGAGACATCATTTTTTTATGTTCTCAGTAGAGTGGTGAATGAATGTTGCAAACTGGGAAAATATAGCGAATTGTTGTTGTTGTTGTTCTTCTCCTTCTTCTACTACTTCTTCTTCTTCTTCTTCTTCTTCTTCTTTTATGTGCCGCTCCTATTCATGACGTGGGCGACCATGAATTTTCACAACTTCCTGTCTTTTGTAGCTCTAAGAGTAAGGTTTGTCTTTTATTCTCTCTCTCCTAATCCCTGGATCAGTTACAAAAGCTCCCTAGGTAGGTTATTCGTTGCTTCTCTCTTCCCCACTTGCCATGTGCTGTGAGTATCGGAATATCCATGCCTTCTTTTCTCACAATGTACATGAGAAATTTTAATTGTCTTTTATTGATTCTAAATATAAGTGTCCTTTTTGTTTCCATTTTCGCTAAAACTTTATCGTTGCTCAAATTTTCAGTTCATGGTATTCTCAGCATCAATAGAACCACACTTCGATTAACTAAAGTTTTTTCTCCATTTCTAAAGATCTTTATTATTTTTTGTTTGTTTCTAACGAAATTTTCCTGTTTCTTAATACTTTGCTCAGTTTTTTAAGGCATCTTTCGCTATTCCAATGCGCTGTTTGATTTCGGTGTCACATTCTTCGTCATCTGTTGAAACATTTTCTAGATATTTACCCTTGTCATGGCAGAAGGTTTACTTGTGATCTAGAGTTCAAACTTCTATACCCACCCCCCACTCCATGGAGGTAAAGTTGAAGAGGAAGGACCAGACTGAACGCGACATATACCTGAAGACCCCCAACGGCGGAACAGACAATCTACATGATCTCAACGGCCAACCCGGCGAAAGAGGGCAGTGCCAGTCAGACTGGCGTAACCAAGGCGGACCTTAACAGATCAAGAATCCGACAGCCCAATGCAACTCGCCTGTCTCAATCTCCTTTGAGCTTCGAGGGAGGCATTTCTGGTCAACTATTTGTCTACCAAAATCAAATTCAGGCGAATGGCCTCACCAAACTCTCTTTGATTCACAGCCATCTCCGACACCAGGAGAGAGAAAGGGAGTAGGGAAAGATGAGGGCGATCCCGATTCTCGGGTGTGAGCGGATGCTGACAAGAAGAAGAAGAAGGAGGAGGAGGAGGAAGAAGCAGGAAGAAGAAGAAGAAGAAATAATTTCAAATTTTTTACTTGTTTGATTTTAGAGTATTCAATTCGTAGTTCGCATCTCTGGGTGTTCATTTGTTGACAAACATCATGCATCACAGATCGTGAAAGAAGTTTATCAGAAAAGTATATAACCATTTATAATATCTCGAGGTTACAAAGCCTTAATGTAACTTGGCAACCATTCAGAAAGACCTTACTGCCCATGCATGGACATTGAATCTGTTGTATTCACAATGGTGAATAGTACAAGTTTGTTAGAGGGAATTCATATTATTCAGGTTTGTCGGCTCCCTGATAGTTCAGATTTGTCTTCCTGCAACACTGGCTTTTCCAAAATGTAAAAATCGCTCTTCAAAATGACACTTCAGACGGTGGACGAGATTAAGGAGAATATGACAAAGCAGCAAAGGGCCACCCCGAAAGAGGATATTATAGACTGTTCTGAGAATTTGGAAGTACGTTAGGTTAACGTGTATGAGGTTCCGAGTAGGATCACATTGAAGGCTCGCTAGGTCGAAGTCTTTTTTTTTTCCCCGTTGATATGAAATGGCTGTATAATGTCCGGACAAACCTCATAAATCTGCATTTTTTCGATTTGTCAATCTATTCGCTTCCCATCTGTGTCAGTTTTCTGCGATGTCTGTCAGCTTTGTTAATGATGGCACGGATATGCCGTTGTTTGCAGCGGTTTTCCTAACTATAAATGGCGAAACTTATTCCTGACTATGCTGTTTATGTGCCAAGTAAAATTCGTATGTGTCATAGATACTGCGATTGTTCTGTGTTGTCAAATCCAGTTTGGCCAACCAATTAATGCACAATGTCCCAAAAATGGAGTGGTGGACATTAATGGATTATCGGTAACAAAAAAAAAAAAAAAAAAAAAAAAAAATGAAATGATAATACCGAATTTTTATTTTAATTTATCCAGAATTAATACCAGATTTTGCGGTGAACATTAATGGTTTAAAGATTTTTTTCAATTTGAGCAATCCTGATCTTTTGTATTCTCTTCAACATTTTATTTTTTTTAGTGATGGTAGGCTCTTCGTCCAGAACTATTGCCAATAAATCTGCATTTATTTTTCATGGGAGTGCTTCTACCATATACATGAACTTTAAGACACTGTGATGTTAGTTATATGGTAATGGAAACTGTTTTTAGACAATGAAACTATAGTGACAGTTACAAATTCAGCGAAGCTGGTAAAGGTTTTTGTAATCTCTATAGGATACTATTGGTAGCCATGTACACTATATGCCAAATGTTTGAGGAATCTCTCTAAATTTAATATTAATAATTAGGGGAAGGAATGTCAGCCATAGTATCTGATATTTTGTAGTCTTTGCTGAGGGTACTTTACTGCATATTTGTCATAGTACAAGGAAACGAGTATTGTATTAAAATTTACAGATAGAAAATGTGTTTAATGAAGGATGGTATCATTTTTCGACAGGTAACTTAGTCTTCTGCTATATTAGATTGTCGGGGCACCAAACTAACGCATTTAACTTTGCAAATATATTTTGTTTAATTTAAGTTCTCTGGAAAAATTATAGTAAATGAATCAACTGATTTTTATTCACCTTTAAATTTGGTTTTAGTATGAATTTTTGTAGAGATAATGACATTTACTGATTATAGCAGGATATTTCACAATGTAAATGTTGTTTTATGTTTTAGGAAAAATGCAATGAAGCGAACGAGAGAAGGCGTCATTTTTTTTTTTATCTATTGTTATACAAAAATAAATTTACACTTCACTCGGGTCGTCTCCAACAAAACTAAGCGTATTATTTAATTGTACAAGTACTATACGTGATATTTGTACTATACGTGATATTTGTACTATACGTGATATTTGTCCTGTATGACAGAGAATGCTGAATGGATGAAAGAAGAGACTTGAATAAATAGAAATGTGGTTCTACAGAAAGATGCTGAGGACCGAACATGTGAACAACGTCAAAATTTTAGAAAAAAATGGCAACAAAACGAATTCTTATATTTAACATTAGAAAAGGGAACAGACGAAAGCAGCATAACATACCTGATGAGTTTGAATAAATGGATGGTAGAACAGAGTTTAGGAGAAATAATAAAAAGATGAAACTTATTAAGAGCTACAAGGAACAGGAATACGTGGAGAGCCATTATTGCCTACGTCCTAAAGGGACACGGCACATAAAAGAAGACGATTTTTCTATGTATTTTTGACGTAATTTTACAATTTCTGTATTAAGCATTAGTTGCTAGGCATGGCTTAATGGTGAATACATTGATCTCACCTTTATGATTACTGTAATTGTGAGTTCGAATCATAATTGGCCCTCAGTATTAGTGCTCTTGAGCCAGACTAACTTTAACTTAGTATTGATTGATTAGTATTTTTAATGGCTTTGAGGATTATTTAAAGTCGAAATATATTTTGAATTCTAAGAAAATTTCTTTCTTTCTTTTTTTTTGCAAATGAATATTGCATAAATTTTTTTGTTTGTTTCAAAATAACAATGTCTTTTCCAGATAGAAGTCTTACTATTTAACCCATAACTTGTGGAGGAGATGATTCATAACTTTCTCAAGGGTATATGTGCGCCAGTGAATACAACTAAACTTCGAACACGCCTCTTCGATTTCTCATTTCGAGCCTCTATCCATTACACCACTCGCACATCCACACCTAGCTTAGTAAACCTTTATATAGGGTTGGTGCATAATTATCAGGCGTCTTTAAAGCATATTTATTATGAAAAAAGAAACATAACAATTCAACAATAACATTTTTAAACGATTATTCAGGAGCGTATGATTATCGACACGTATTTTTATAACCTGAAAATAAAATATTTTTATTAAAAAAGTAAACAAAACAGCAATTTTTATTAACAAATAACTCGACTACAAAAACGCCTGATAATTATGCACCAACCCAATAATAAACATGAACCATCATCATCATAGTCAATATTGTCGTATTTCCTGAGTTTGTTGTTAAAGAATTCTATTCATAAAAGAAAATCTCATTTGGTATGACCCCTTTTTCTACTGATCTTTTTATATTTCTACTTTCATCTTATTTTGCCCTTTGTGTGTGTGTGTGAATTGATTGGTGGTGGTATTTTAATCAGCAGTTATTTTTAGCTACCTTATATCATCTTTTCTTTTTTGTCCAGAAATAGCAATTATATTTTTGTTATATCCGTATATAGGACATTACTCATTCCTTTTATAGTCTATCAATTTAACCTTTGGCATACTCAAAACATTCTTCAAGATGGCTGACATGTCTTTTTCGAGCGATATCACTTTTTCTCCCCTTTGAGTGATCCACGGGGGGGTAATAAAGGTGTTGGGAGTTTCCAAACCCCCGATTTTTTTTTCCTGAAACGGAGAACTAAACAGAAGGCAAACTTTATTCTCTTGGTCTCAGTTTATGATAATGTTACTGAGATAATCTGTATCATTTATCTAAAATCATTTTTACCAAAATAAATAAGAAAACTTCATTTTTTTTTTCCGAAACATTAACTTCTAAAACTTTTATATAGGTTTTATGCGAAAAAAAAAAAGCCTATAAGTCTCCTTCATGAAAATAGGTACGATTGAAAAAAAAAAGAAAAATTGTGTATATAAAAAAAAAATAATTTTAAGAGAGGGTCAGATAAAAAAAAATCTCCAATTGGGTTTCTTTAAAACTTAATATATGATTAGCACTACCACTTTAAACATCTGGTTTAGCTTCCTCGCCCTTTATTTTGTGGCGCCCTTGTTTATAAGATACTAGTTTTGTCCCTTCTTCGTTCAATTACTCATTTATTTTAGTT